GTGTGTGTGTGTGTGTGTGTGTGTGTGTGTGTGTGTGTGTGTGTGTGTGTGCGTGCACTATCCGATACAACACCCTCTGATACAGAAATCGAACTGACGGTTTCTGCGTACATCTGCTATAAATCTAGATTCATTTGGCTTATATTTACTTTTCACTGGATATTTATTACTATGAAACTACTGCGTCGGGAAATGAAAAATCAAAATTAATGAATGTCTCACCTACCAAAGCTAAATGTATCATTGGGTGGAAAGGTATCGTAACTTAAGTTGATAACAAATAATTTTTGCAAGCATTTTACGTTCAAATCAACACAATTCAGATCAGGCAGGAGGCGGGATGTTTCAGTTGAGTAGGTCAGAACCATCTATGATTGTGTGATCTTCAGCCGTCTGAGAATCAAGCTCTCAAATTCAAATGCCCCATTCTCTTAAACATGTACACCACTGAGTCACAACTCTCCGTCAAGAAACATTCAGAAACAGGATAAATTCTAATTTTAATCCAGCTGATGGTTCTGGGACTGTTTTTCTTTTTTTGCCTGAGACAGCGCACTTTAGAGAAGTCTTTAAAAGAACGACAGAATGTTTTTTTTCAGATTAAAATGAAAAGACTGTGTCCGCCCGGCTTAGGAGAAGTCTGATTAAGACCAGTTTGTGAATTTCTTAACATTATTACTTTAAGCCCGAGCCTTAACGCCATTCACAATTATTTATCCCGGCATCAGTTGCGTGGGCTTTTGGTATTTTTTTGTTTTTTCCCTCTCTCGTAAAAGTGTATAAGCTTAAAGCTCTTCAGACTGTCTCGTGATTTGAAACAGTACTTCCTGATGAAGTCTTGGTTTTCATTGGACAAGTCTTTCACGTCAAAAATTTACAGAAATAAGTTCTAAAAAAAAACCCTGAACGATGAATATAAATCTTGTCTTTTGACATAATGTCTGTTGGATGTCGTTTTTGCTTTAAAAGCATCCCAATGACAACACACAAACACACACACACGAACACACACACACACACACACACACACACACACACACACACACTCACATACACACACACACATACACACACAAACCCATACTCCTTTTTTTCTGTTTCGTTTTCGTAGAAAAATGTTTCACATTCACTTGACATCAAGCTTTCTGCAGGCTAAATCGGATACAGACATGACAAAAAGTGAAGCTGAAATTGATTTCCAAATATACTTTTCTCAAATTAAAATGGAATTAGAATGAAAACTTTCCTAAATCATGTCTTGAACTGATAAAAAAAAACAAAAGTTTAAAAAACATGTTGTTTATAGCATGCATAATCCAGTCTAAAGGGGATTTTTCCTGGGGATATCTTGTTTACCTTAGAGGTGATTACTCTGAATTTAAATGAGGCTGATTCTGATTACTGTTTACTTTTGATTTTTAATGACCTAAATTTACAGAACCGCCAAGCGCTTGCCCACACCGTTTCACTTCATCGACATTTAAAGGTTTCACTCAGAGCGAAAAGAGAAGCATTTGAAAGCAAACAAAGCACTCATATTATCAGAATTTTTGTGTTTACTAAGCTAGAGAATTCCCCATGTTTTCAGAAACACTGCATTTTGAATTGAGCGAAGCCCCAGATTTTAATGAGAGTTCTAGGCTTTCTTTTCTGCATTGCGACGCCCAGGGACTTTGGTCTGTAAAAAAAAAATGCTGGTTAGTGGGGCAAAACTGCATAACTATAATGATGATGATGATGCTAAAATGATCATAAAGGATTATTATTATTGTTATTGTTATTATCAGTGTTACTATCATTGTTATTATTATTTATTGTTATTATTATTATTACCATTACTATGATTATTATTATTTACTACTACTACTATTACTTTTACCTCTATTGGTGTAAAAGTTCTCGTGAACGACTGGCACTAGTCCACATTTATTGTTTCGCCTAATCTCCATGTGTATAAAACAAACAAAAAATATGTATGTTATGACTTTTTAAATCATGCACTTTCCAGAATTGCTTCAACTCTTTATCCTAATGTTAGGCAAGTCCTCGAACCCATCAACAATATCAAGGTCTTGAAAAGAAAACTATTACTCTGTAACACACTAGACTATATAAAAATGGAAATTTATTGACATTTACTAAAATCAACAAAGCAATGATATTCACACAACCGTTCTTTGGTCGCTTGTACATTTTTAAAAATTGAGGATCTTTTATAAAACGGGTGAATTTATAACTTAGGCTTGGGAGTTGACTGGAAACAGAATAACGAAAAGAAATACATATTTAGGGTGTCAAATAGCAAAAAGTGATTTTGGACAGATACAAACACAGCTTCTTCGGAAAAAAGACAACAGCAGCAGCAGCAACAACAACAACAACAACAACAACAACAACAACAACAACAACAACAACAAAAATTCCGAAACGGGTGGGAAACGGGGGTATAGGAACTAAATGGAGAAAGTGGATAATTTTTTGGATTTTTGTTAGTTTTGGTTTTGTTCTTTTGGTTTGTTGCTTAATCAGACCCTTTCATTTAACAGTTCATTAAAATTTGTTTGTTTTTTAATCCTAGATGTTATAATTCCTAACATTCCATTCCTCCCTTATTCGGGCCAGCAAGAATTGTTGTGTCTGTCATGTCTCTTTGTATCATAATAGTAGTAGGGCATTTTCTGAAGGCTATTGTTTGATCTAACATTGTAGAGCACACTCTAACCTCTTTCCGGTCAGACATTTAAATTTATAGTTTTCATCTCACCTCCTTCTTCTTTCTTATCTGTGTGTGTGTGGGGGGTGGGGGTTACTCTCTTGTGACACTTTTTATCTTCGGAACAAACAAAAATCACCTTATCGTGTTGCAAGTAACGTTAAACGTTTACAAAAACAAAACATTCTTTATCTTTAACGACAGATTGAAAGTATTATTTACAAGAAAAACCAAACACAATGCCAGCTTTTACATTTCGTTGTTTTTTGTTTTTACATCAGATTCCGGCTTGGGACAAGGCAGTCTGAAGAGTCTTTCAACACGTTCCGTGTCATTCCGGAATCGGGCAACATCGTGACAGTTCGAGAGCTGACGTCACTACAAGGAGAAACACTGCGTCTGGTTGTGGAAGCTATTGACCATGGCGCCAAACCTCAAACTGCACAGGTGAGAAAACAGCTGCCTGCGTATTTATTCATTTATTTACTTATCTATCTATCTATCTGTTTATTTGATTAAATAGTTTTTTGTACCTCCCCCCCCCCCAATTGGCGCAAATTAGATCATCTAGAATGCGGGATTTCGACTCAGCCAGAGGGGGATACAACATCCAGCCAAAAAGAACGAGATAGTCGATTAAACAAAAAAACCAAACATGTCTCTCCAATCGGGAATCGAACTTGGGTCTCCTGCGTGCTAACAGCTGTGCACCGCAGACAACGGTGCCTTGGGTGTAGTGTACAGCCTTTTGAAAGTTCACCCAAACCTTTCACTTTTGCCAATCAGTGCCTTATTTGTGCATTAATGGTATTCATTTCTGGTCAGCAATACAAACATTGCCATTTTTACCCTTTACATTTATTTATTGCATATATATCCTCCGTGTTTGCCCATAGAGTTATCACGTTAGTGTGTGTTATTTGTACGTGGGAGTGAGTGGACATAGGAGAGAGTGAAAGAAATAATAGACAAAGTGAGATTGTGTGTGTGTGTTTGTGCGTGTGTGTGTGCGCTCGCGAATTTAGGAGAGAGAGACAGACAGAGTGCAAGAAAGAGCGAGCGAGCGAGAGAGAGAGAGAGAGAGAGAGAGAGAGAGAGAGAGAGAGAGAGAGAGAGAAAGAGAGAGAGAGAGAGAGAGAGAGAATACAATTTGTTCATATGATGTGTATGTGTATATTTTGTGTCACCTAAGGTGATGGAAGCACAATGTTAATTCTTCTAATGATGGAATAGTAAAGGGCATGTTCCCTACTCATCTGATTTTTTTTTTCTCATCTGATTCTCATCTCTTCTATCCTCTTCTCTTCCTTTCCCTTCTCTTCTCTTCTCTTCTTTCCTCTTATTTATCTTATCATTTCTTACCCTATCCTACCTATTATTCTCCTTACTCTGCTGCCCCCCCCCCTTTTCTCAGGCGGAAGTAAACATCCATGTGGTAGACTCCGTCAACAACCCTCCTGTCATCACCATGACCTTGCCGGCGGGGTCACGGGTGTCAAGGGTCAGCGAGAAGGCGGAGCCGGGCTTTGTGGTGGCTCACTTCATGGTGGAGGACGCGGACCAAGAGGAGAACGGGAGAGTGTCGTGTCATCTACAGGTAGGGAGAGGGGGAGGTGAGAGGCGGAGAGATAGATAGT